GGTCCAAACTCTCCAGCAAAATTTCAGTGCAGCAGTTCAGCTTTTTGTTTACAGCCAGAGTCTGTTGAAAGGAAACAAGCACAGACAGATTCAGAGAAACGTTTTCCCCTGAAAGAAGTTTTCATGCTTCAAGGGGATGAACATTCCTGTCAAAAATAAAAAAGAGAGACAAGTCCTGAAAATTAAAATGATCACTTGATTACTAATGATTACTTCTAAAAATTAGCTTTTGGTGTATTTGAGCTATTATGAAAGATTTGTTTTGTTATATTAAGTGAACCTTTGTGTCATGTTGGATACTGAACCTTTTCCATGTAAGAGTAAAGCACATCCTCAGGGGTAAGTGAGCCTTCCTTCAGCTGCTTTGTCAGCTCAGACAGGGAGAGTGTCAGGATGAAAGCAGAGTCAGTTGTCGGATGCTAGGAGACACAGACCCACACAGAATCATTACTTCAAAAAAAACATTTAAAGCAAGAATTTAAGACTTAGTATCACCTCTAATTTTGCATCCTGGTCATGGAACAACCTTCAGAACACATTAAAGCTCTCCCTGACAGAGTTCATAACACTCAAAAAGACTTATGTAACCGAAGACTGTTATTGCCATTTATAAGCTGGATCTGTATTTTTGTATTATTTTGTCTCTAACTACTTATTAAGTGTTTTGATGTTATATTTGAATTGTAACTTGTAACAATGTAAGGGTTTGTCCTCTTGACCAATTTATTCTTGAAAAACTGATGTTAATCTCAAGGGATTTTTCTGGTTCAAAACTAAATAATATAAAAGAAATTAAATTAAACAAAAAAAGCATTGAACCAGGATTTTTCCTTTGTCTGTGTTCCACCTCTGTATACTTAATTACTTATGTAATTAAGTAATACCCTCACCCTGAGGCTCTCTTACGCCCTACACGTATAATTAATTTTGCAACTGTGGAGAATTTTTCTGTCTTTCCTGAAACTTGCCTCCTCCATTCCTGACTGTTCCCTATCTCCCATGGTTGATGATTTTGCTAGCACCCTTTTTTCCACATGCTCCTCCATCCTCAATACTGTTGCCCCTGTTAAAATGAAGCGCCCTAGATAATTTCCCGATGTTGGCTAAACGACACGTGACAGTAGTATCCCCCGTGGCCAACTCCGTGATGCCTTGGGTTCCTTTGATAGTTTCCTCACCGACACTGTTAGTGACCTGGGTGTGTTTTTGGATAGCTCTTTTAAATTCGACAAACAAGTGTCTGCTCTTGTCAAATCTTGCTTCTATCAATTGCGTCTTATTAGCAAGGCCAGACATTATGTCCCGCATAGAGACCTGGAAAAGCTTATTCACGCCTTTGTGACATCTAGGTTAGATTATTGCAGCTCCCTTTACTTTGGTCTTAACTCTACTCTTCTCCATAGACTGCAAATTGTTCAGAAAGCGGCTGCGCGTCTCCTTACTGGTAGTGGGGGGCGTGTCTCTATTGACGCTGTCCTTGCCGACCTGCACTGGCTTCCTGTTAAGTATCACATTCAACTCAAAATCCTGCTGCTCACCTTCCGAATTATTAACAATATAGCTCCAAGCTACCTCATTTTGAGCTACTTAGATTATACACCCCTGCTAGAGTACTAAGATCATCTTCCCAGTCACTCTTGGTACTGCCGGTACTTTAATTTATATATTTTATCTTATTCTTTCCCAGTTAAATTTACCCTTCAGTCTAATTTGTGTTGTACAGTTATTTCATTTTTAACTTTAATTTTTATATTTTATTTTATTCCTTCCTAGTTAAATTTACCCTTTTTAATTTTCATATTTATTTCCTATCTTATTCAGAGCCTTTTCTTTTTTTCTTTAGGTCACGAGCAGTTGTCTAAGCATTTCACTGCATATCGTACTGTGTATGACTGTGTACGTGACAAATAAAATTTGAATTTACCAAATTGTTTGTCCATAGTTCACCAGATTTGAAATAATATCTCCAAAGATTAACATAAACAATTCAAAGTCCAGGGCTCTGAACTCTCACCGACTCTTTGTAGCGGAGCACCGCCTGCTCTGCCCGCTGCAAGCTCTCGTCTCTCCTGTTTCTGGCTCTCTTGATCTTTTCCTCCGTCTCTCGGTGGCTGCTGATCTTTTTCACCAGCATAACCACGGATCCGACAACGCAGGTAGCACCAGTGAGCAGAGCCACTGCCCACTTGTCCATTTTCACTCCCTTAATAAACTGTTCAATATTCTGCAAGGCTTGCATTTTTGTCCTGTTGCTGCAAACTCGACTAAATGACAAGTGGACTTTACACACGGTTGTTTAAATGGGACAGGCTGACCTTTGAGCAAAATACATAGGCGCGTTAAGCAAGTAACAGCTCCTACTTTAATAAAACAATGACGCTCACTCACTGCGCGTGCGTACTTCCAAATACTCTGTGAATGACAGAGTAAACAAAAACAACAAATATGTGTTGAAGTGCGTGTGCATCCAAATTAATTACAGGAAGTCCATTTAAGACTTCTCCTTAGAACGATCACCTAAACATTTTCACGTAAGTTCTGTATTTTATAGTGATTATTATCATTTTTATATTAGGATAAAGGAGAGCCGACCGCTTACTCGCTAACTTCCCCTTTCTGCACCGCATCAGCTGTTAGCTTTCCGTGACCCGGAAATTATTCTCCCTCCGGAACAACGGATATTAGTATTTCGAGTTTAGTCACTTTTGATATTATTAAATATATAACTATATTAACAGCAGTTTCAACCTTTATTATTGTCACGATGATCATGTCATAATTCCGTTTAATATATGAAACATTTTACAACAAAAAAACAACAACAACAAAAAAATCAACAACAACCCCAAAACAAAGCCGCCCCCCCGCCCCCATCAGAGATCTTCGGGGCAGGTTTGAAAGATCAAATCAAATGATTACGGCTTATAAAACAGGAACTATTTATTTTATTCGTTTATAAATATCAATGTCAAACCACTACGTTAGAAAAATAAATGGTTTGTTTTAATGTCATTAGCAGATGAACAATACACATATAGTGAATGTTATGGTCATTTTGGGCTAATAATTTCTTTGAAATGTCCTTTTTTCCCATGGTGGGCCGATTGCAAGCTGTACCTCAGAAAGTTTTGGTAACCCTCAACAAGCTTCTGGCATAGTTCTGTCTGGATATTTGACCGCTTTTCTTGTCTCATTCTTCTCATGTCCGCATATATTGTATGTGTACATATTTAAGTATTTCACATAGTTTGTTTGTTTGTTTGTTTACTTGTAACCGTTTGAATAAATTTGTGACTTTTTTGTAATATTGTTTAGTATGCTTTTGGGTCTTTTTATTGTCTGTGAGGTTATTTTGGTCTATACAAATAAATCAGACTTGCCTAATGATTTCACATTTTATTTTCTCAACAAGATCTAGCATGTTTGCTGTTATGGATATAAAGAAATATAAAGCATAGATGGGGATAGCAAGACAAAAAAACACATGGTTTATTAAATGAATGTATGAAAGAAAGATGAAAAATGAAAGAGTTAGAGTTCCTAAAGCCTTTAGGAAACAATCAAAGACCAAAATAAACACAAAATGAATAGACTGTACTTGTACTACTAAGATTCATCCACCATTTATGACTCGATTAGCTCATTATTACAGGAAATACTCAAGTTAACATGTCTCCTCTGAAGTCTGCAGCCTCTCCTGTGAGACTGAGAAAGAAAGCAGCTTTACTTCTTGCTTTCTTTGACCAGTTGTTCCACTTCCTTCATGAGGCGCAGGCAGAGCTCATCCTGCCACGGCAGAGCAACACACTGAACCGCCACAGGTAGACCCTCGCCACCGGTCACTGCCTGAACACAAAAACACACTCCTGTCACTTAACGCTTGGCAGCTGGACACACCACAGTCTCCTTCATCCACCTACTGACAAACTCTGAAACTACTAATACATTGTGTGTATATCTGCATGGCAACAAGGAATGTGACAATATTTCTAGTTACAATAGTCTGATACGTTTCATTTCTTGGTTTTGTGTATGGATGGGCCTTT